GACTTAAACCTTGGATAGATCAAGATCTCTTAAAGAAAATAAAACTAAAAAATAAATTAAGCAAAAAGTGCACCGAGCGTCCAAATAATAGAAAACTTCGTTCTCGATACATCAAACTTAGTAACAAAACTAATAAAGCAATTCGATTGAGGCGAGATAGCTTTTTCGAAATGAGTTTAAATCCTCATTCGGAAATGCAAGAAGAGAGTTGGAGGTTGTCAATCGGGCTCTTAATCGAGCACCGGCAGAGCGTGTCGAGTCAATTACCCTGTGGTCAGAAGGTCATTCGATCTCAGATCCTATAGGAGTAGCCAATGAATTCAATAAGCCCTTCACCTCTATTGGGAAAACTGAATGTACTGACTGCAACTGTCAGTTTGCTTTAGAACTGCCCTCAAACCCTGATACTCAGAAAAGTTTCTTTTTTAAGTCAATTTCAAGCTTAGAAATAGCTAACATAATCAAGCTTTTAAATAACTCTGGCTCTTGCGGTGATGACGCTATTTCCAATAAGATACTAAAAAGCATATCCTTTAATATAGTTGATATACTTAAATACTTATTCAATGCTAGTGTTACACAGGGTGTTTTTCCAGAAGATTTGAAGTGCGCTATTGTAATTCCAATTTTCAAAAGAGGCGATAAGATCGATTCAAATAATTACAGGCCTAGATCTTTGCTCTCGACAATATCAAAAGTATTTGAAAAAGTTATTAAAAATAGAATTGTAGACTGTCTTGATAGGTCGAAATTCTTTAGCCCAATGAAGTTTGGCTTTCGTTCGGGACTTTCTACGGAAGATGCTCTACTAGATTTTTGCTCGTACATCTACCAGGGCTTGGCCCTTTTTGTTGACATTACAAAAGCTTTTGATATGGTAGATAGAGATATACTTTTAAATAAGCTATTTAGCGCTGGTTTCAGAGGGTTTATGCATAATTGGTTTAAATCCTATCTCTCGAATAGAGTACAAAAAGTCAAAGTGGCAAATAGCTATAGTAGTTTAGAGCCTGTTCTTCTGGGCGTGCCCCAAGGTTCAGTTCTTGGTCCAATACTATTTTTGATTTATATCAATTAAATTTTGTCTTTGCCATTGAAAGGCAAAGTAACTGCTTTTGCTGATGACCTTGCCATTGCTTATTGTACTCGAGCTACTTTGAAGCAATATGTGACATTAATCACGACATATATCTACTGAGAATCTGGTTTGCATTGCATAAACTGTCTGTAAGTAGTAAAACTAAGCTTATGTACTTTAGCCTCGTTACCAAAGAATCCCCACACTGATATTTTCATTCATTTCATTCTTCAGATTGTCTGCGTTTTAATTTTGCATAATCCTGAGTGCTCTCTGAATGAGTCAAAACAGTCTTTCGCTTGCACCGCCAACTGCGACGATACTTGTTTCCAGCTTGAAAATGTTGAAAAGTTAAAATACCTAGGAGTAGTAATCAGGGACCGCAAATAACGATTACTTTTGAAATTTTCTACGCAAAAAATCACACTGAAAGAGAAATGCTGCGTGCATAAGGAGTACACCAATATATTTCTTACTACTCGGAATACCTTCAGCGGCACTGATTTTTATTTTTTAATTTTTACTTATAAAAATCAAGTTTAATCATTATAATTATAATAATAATCGTTATGTTTTGAGTTTTATTTTTTGCTCGGAAAATAATAGTTACGTTTTAAGTTGTATTTTTTGTTCGGAAAATAATGGTTACGTTTTAAGTTTTAGTTTTTGATCGGAAAATAATCGTTACGTTTTGAGTTTCATTTCTTGCTCGGAAAATAATCATTACGTTTTAAGTTTTATTTTTTGCTCGGAAAATAATCGTTATTTCTTGAGTTTTATTTTTTGCTCAGAAAATAAAACCCAATTTTTACGTATGCGTATGCGCGTATGGACAAAGTTAAAGATAAATAAAAAAACAAGGATAAAGGAAGATGAAGATGAAGATGAAGATGAAGATGAAGATGAAGATGAAGATGAAGATGAAGATGATGAAGATGAAGACGAAGATGTAGATGAAGATGAAGATGAAGATGAAGATGAAGGTGAAGATGAAGATGAAGATGAAGATGAAGATGAAGATGAAGATGAAGA